GACGCCCCCCTGCGTCGGCCCGCGCCGGGGATCGGGCTGGCCCGGGTGATCGGCCCGACTAGCGGGGGGCCCCGCGCTCCGGAGTCGCCCTTGCGGCGACGTCTTTTCTTGGAGGAGAGCTCGTCTCAGGCGAGATCGGGCGCCGTTCCTCAGATGGGCGAGAAGGGGGCGGCCCAGGCGGCGTCGACGCGCGCCCTCCTTCGCCCCCCTCGTGACCCGCGCATGGCGGCCCGGGGCCCCGGGGCTCAGCGAAGTTGCCGAGGCTGTCCTTGGGCCGGTTTCGTTTCGAGCCCTTCTGGCCCCCCTCGCGACGGGCCCCGGCCCGCCTGCTCCAGGGGCCGCCCAGAAGATCCTCGAGGGGCACTGGTAGCGTCGTCGGTCAGCAGACAGCGCCCAGAGAAGCGTCTCCCTTAGCTTCGAAAGCCGAATGGTGAAATAAGCGCTTTTCACCTGTATCCTGTTGGTCAGCGTGGGCACTCTGGGATTTTCACGATCGCCGCGAAAAGGTTTCGCGCATGTCACGAACACCGAAACATTGCGCAGGCTGCACGGACGCGTTTTAGATTCGAAACCTGAAAGGTAAAAACCAAGTGTGTCACTTGTATTCTGGGGGTCAACATTGGCGTTTTGGGATCCCACGAACGCGGCGAATTTTTTCGAGGATTCCACGGGCACTGCGACATAAATCGTGGATTGCCACGAAAGCGTCAGAGTTTCGAAAACGGAATGGTGAAACATACTTGTATCATTTGTTTTCAGGTGAACGACATTAGCGTTTTGTGATTTCACGAACGGCACGGAAACTTCAGTGAATTACATGGATGCAGCGAAAGACTTGGTGGATTGTTGCAAACGCGTCTTAGTTTCGAAACAAATTGTTTCCACGAGTCCACGAATACCACGAAATCTCCGACATTCGTGGATTTCATTGATTTCGTGGGTTTCGTGAATATCGTGCATTGCAGCGCTAGCGCTTTAGCTTCGAACACTGGACAGTGAAGTCCATTGGTTTCAGTTGGGTTCTTGGCGGCAATATGGGCGTTTTGGGATTCCATGAAATCAGCGAAATTCGTCCCAGCCGGTCGTCAGGTCGTGCGTTCCACCATCCACAAACCATATTCCTCAGCACATTTTGTCAGCCTCGGTGTGGAAAGCACCTCCATGATCACTGGCCGGGGCACCTCCCCACACGCGAAGGCGGTCTCCAGGGCTTCACAGCTGCGGCCCGGCCCTACTGAAAATCCCGATCGGCGAGTGGATGGACGGTGGACCCGCCGAGTCGCACCTCGTAGTGGCCTCCATTGGTCGTTTGCAGCTGCACACGCACTCCTAGTCGCCTGAAGATCAGCTAGTCGTTCTCTATGTCCAGGTTTCACCCGAGCCGCCGAGCCAGGGACAACGTATACCTCGATGTGCTCCGTATGCCTGCCGAGTTTCCACAGGATGATGCACACGCCGATCGAGTGCTGCCCGTCGCCACTGAACCCTTTGACGGTGACCATCTTGTGGTCCTCCTCGACGGCGATGTCCTCCCCAGTCGCCTGCATGTGCTCCTCTAGCGTCTCCAGCCCGATCAGCGCCCTGGCGCATCCAGGGTACACCACCTCAGCACCCGGGGAGGGCACCGTGAGGGTCTCGCTCTGGTCCGGGTCCTCGTCGGAGCCGTCGATCTCGTCCTTCAATCGCCCAAAGTGGTTCTCGGTCAGCTGCTCACGAAGTCTCCGAGCATCCCAGGTCGCTAAAGTATTCTCGATCTCGCTCCACGAGTCGTGCTCTTTCTCTCGCTTCACCTCGGATCCACGAAGTTAGTTTCGAATTTCTTGCCGGCGAAACTCGAGAAGCATGGTTTCTGATCATGACCTCCTGGCCGGGAACGCTTGGGACACTCCTTAGTGACATGGCCGACCTTCTTACACGCTCAGCACCTCACGCGAACCGAGAATTTCTTGATGTCCGGCGCCGGCGGCGGTGGGAGACTTCGTCTTTTGCGCTCCTCAGCGACCGCGACACGAGTCTCCTTCCACGTCGCCAGCACGTGGATGGCCTCATCCTCCTCCATTGGCTCCTTGCGGTCCTGCTCGATCTCCGCCAGGAATGCGTCGATCTCCTCTGGGCCGCCCACCGGCGCAGGCGTCCCGTCAGCGTCAGCCCCCCACGCGGGGCCCTCGCCCACCATGTTCACGCCGTGCTCCCGCAGCACGCGAGGGCAGAGCGTCTTCAGCGCCCTGGCGAGCTTATCGAGCGTCCACTGCCTCCCGCTCGCCGCCAAGGACCACCACCGCACGCCTGCCGCCTCCGAGGCGAGCGCTTGGAAGCAAGAGAAGCCCCTGCGCGACGTCCGGAGTCTCGACGCCCTCTCTCTAGGCCTCCACGAAGACCGTCTGGGCGTGCCCCACGTAGGCGCTGGTTAGCTCTGCTTCTCAATCTTCAAACCGATCACGGACTCCAGGGCATCCCCGATTCGGTCCGCCGCCTCACGCTCAGGGTACCTGGCATCCAGGACAGCAAACAGCTTCTCATCGCCGTTCTCCACGGCCAGCTCCTCTAACTTGACATTCTAGAGGGCGTCGACCGCCACGCCCTCTAGAAGAGTGTGCAACATGGGTCCAAACGTCTCGCTCTTGCCGCTACGCCCCTTCTCCACCAGCAGTCTCGCTCGTGCCAATTTTTTCCAGGCCTTGTAGTCTTGAACAGTACTGGCGCCCTCACCATTGAACCTACGGTCCCACAAGTTGCTGCCGCCGCCGTTCTTCGACATGGCCGTACTCCGCGGGCTGTTGGCTCAAGCTTGTGTCAATGCCCGAGCTCTGGGAGAGAGGGCCCTCCTGGCTTGCTTCGCTTCCTCTCGCGCGAATCTCAGGCAAGCTTGTGCACAAAGGGCAGCGGAGTGAGGCAACAACGGTTCGAATCAGCAAGGAGGGAAGTGCAGGACAGGCGAGTGGAATGGAGGGAACCCAGACACCCGACGGTATGCTCCTTTTTCAGTGCGCGGCCCCGGAGGGTCCTGACCCCCTCCCTGGGGGCAGCTTTTTCGCCCGGCTTCATTTCTGATGGCCCCGGGCCCGGCAACGGGCCCCAGAGGCCGTCGAGACGACACGCCCGGGTTGAGGAAACACATCGTCGAAGCTTCGTGGAGGGGGGCATCTGCGTCCGGTGCAGGGTACGCGCGCGGCGGCCTCTCCGCCCCAGAGCGCCCGTGGGAAGGCCAGCATCCCCAGCGCTCCAGAGGCCGGCGTGCCCTCCGAGTCGGAGCCCACGGACATGGGCTCCCGCACGCGGCGCATGACACGGGCGGGCGTGGGGGGGGGGGGACGCGACGCTCATGCGCAACCTTAGGGGTGGGGATGGGCTTAGAGGGGGGACGCATTGGCCTCCAATCGCTCGTTCGTCGCCGATAGTGGTCCGATGGCCCACCCCCTCCCAAGAGCGTGCGGACTCGCCATCGGTTCCATATCGCCGATGCGTCGCCGACTCCAGGTCGGCGTTTCCCCCCCCGAGCCAGTCCCCCCTATCGTCGCCCCTCAGAGGGAGAGCGTAACGTGGCGGAGGGAGTCGGCACGTCACCAAGGGTCAGAGGAGGAAACGATACCGATACCGCTGCTCGTCCTGGAAAGCCCTCGTCGCCACGGCTGGACTCGCCCTGGAAAGCCCTCGTCGCCACGGCTGGACTCGCCTCGAAATTCTGTTCAGAGCGTAACCAAGGAGAGGGTCAGGGAGTAGCGGGAAAGTATTGGTCAGCGTGAGGGGCCGAACGGTCTCACATCGTCTTTGGGTGGGTGGGTGCTTGTTTGCTGTTCGTCGTCGCCGTTGTTGAATGTTAATTACTAAACAATTATTACTGTTGGACCCCCCCCGGGCGCTTTGACGCTCTCGCCTCGGCGCCGGCTACATTTTCATTGAAAGTGAGGCTCACGGTCGAGCGGCTTGGGGGGCGCCGAAACCGGCCCCCCCACAACAACAACAACAACAACAACAATCATTTTACCCGAACGCTCAGTGTTCTCCCCAGTGCCAGGGTTTTCATGCGACGCCAGCCAATACCCCCACTTCGTGGGGGGGCAATGCAAGCTCTACCAAACATCCACACGACTCTCGGGAACCACCCACACCCAGCTTCCCGCCCTATGACGTCAGGACACTTCACTTCGTGGCGCGCGGACGATCGTGGATACTACACTGGCGTGGAGTACACACCCGCAGAGGTTGATCACTTGTTTGGGCCCCGCATGTGCCCCGCATGGTGCATTTGTTGCGTATGACATACATAGTACAGAGAGACAGAGAGAGAGAGAGAGAGAGCAAGACAGAGAGCCAGTGGAGAGAGAGATAGAAAGAGATTCGTCACATGTGTGAGGCAACCTGAGAAGATGTGGTACACGGTACACGTGAGATGGTACGCAGTGCCAAGATAGTTGGTCACATTTTTGAGGCAAATTCCTGGGAAGGCGATTACACAAGTAGATGTGTTACGTATGATAGATATGAAGCAGAGAAAGAGCGAGAGACAGAGAGAAGGAGAGAGAGGAGTCGGTCACATCTTTAGGGCAACTTCCTGAGGGATGTGGGAGGACACAAGAGAGAAGGTATCGTTGTCCCGATGGTTGTCTCGATGGTTGCCCCGATGGTTGTCCTGATGGTTATGGTTGTCCCGATCGTTATCCCGATGCTTGTCCAAATGGTTGTCCCGATGGTTGTCCCGATGGTTGTCCCGATGGCTGTCCCGCTGCGATGCAATGTTGTCTGTTTCTGCTGTTATACAGTCCCAAGGATGACGCATGCATTGCTCATACACTGGTGGCGCTGTGATCCTAACTCTCACTGCCCAACGCGCGCGTGCACAGCCAGACGGAGGGAGAGAAAGTACACAAGGTTCGTGACATACGCACGGTCCACCATGTTCTAAACGATCACATGCACGTTTAGTTCTGAAATTATACATATGTACAAGCAGACATGCGAGGGAGACAGGGAGATGGCCATCGACAGTTCCAATACGGCTCCGAGGCGCAAGAGGGGGAGGAGGAGCAGGACAAGGAGGAAAGGAGAGAAGCGAGAAAGGAATAACGCAGACGGCGCGGCTCTGGACACAAAGGGGTGCCATACTTTCTCCTGCTTTCGCAAACAGGTCCAGTCACACGTAGGAGTATACTCACCCAGAAGCATACTAAGGCGACTCGTCGTCTGCGACGTCGCAAAGGCGCTTGGGTACATGGCTGCCTGGCTGATGCAGGTGCGGGCCTGGCTGATACCCGTGCGCTCCCAAATGCCCAATGATATTGCCGATGCGCCTGCTGGCGAGAGAGCCGGGGCTTGCATACGGCAGTGCTAACGCGAGCACGTTGTGGACCTGCGGTGGCAAGGCCGGGTAATCGAGCATGTTCGGATACTCGTCGCTCTGACCAAAAGACCGCCATACGGGCAACCACCACCACTGGTCTTGACGCGGATACTTCATCTCTGGGCCGACCTCAGGGGATACGTTCCAAATGGCCATTTTCTGCGGGTCCGTACCCATGAAGGCCGCGTGATACGCAATGAATACGTCCAAGGTGGCGAGGGCCCTGTAGGAGAGGCCGGATACGATCTCCGCATGAATGGGAATAGCGAGCTGACCGAGCAAATACCGCATACTGCTATACACCCACTGGCCCGGGTGGACGAAGAGGTTGGCTTTCCAGGCGACGATACCTCGCGCGGTGCACAGCGTGTCGAATACGTGCAGAAGGTAGCCAATGGGCTTCCCAAGCCTCTCATCCTGGAATACCGAGAAGTTCCCGAATACCGCGTGCGCGTAGAAGAAGGCGTCGAAGTAAAGCCACTCCGGCTCGGGGATGCCCCCCATACTGTGCTGGTAGTCCGGGTCGTTGTTCGTCTTCGACTGCCTCGTGGACATAACGCTCGATACGGCGAGGCATACGCCCTTGACACCCTCCCATAGAATAGGGAAGGAGATACCGCGCGCGAACCACCTCTCCGAGCCACACTGCTTGAGCCAGCGCCGCGCATACGCCTCGTGGTTGGGTGGCGTGTGCCAGCGCTCCATACTGTAGCGCACTTCATCATCGCTTGGGTAATACTCGCCCGTCACGGGGTCGAGCCGACCGGCCATCTGGGAAGCCATACGGAAGGCCGGCAATATGGAGGTGAATACGATCTCGCGATATACAGTAAGCGGCTTGAGCAGAAACCGCTACGTACAAACAGAAGCGAACCGCATACATGTGCCCAAATGCCAAAGTCCATACGACCGTACACGCAGAACACTCATGCGAGCGCCTTCGGAAAGACGAAGTCCGCCGCCGCACATGCGACCAGGGCAGGCATACTCACTTCATCTTTTTATTTGAATCCACAGGCCTCATAGACTTCCCCTGGGAACCCCCCAGACGCCCTCATAAACTTCCCCTGGGAATCGGGTCACAGAAACTAAGACAATCGGGCCCTGGGAACCCCCCAGATACCCAGAGAGGTCTGGCGGCTGGGGCCGAAGGCCTAAAGAGAATACATAACCACAGGGCCCTGGGAGGCCCTCCCAAGATCCCCAGATGGGTCTGGCGACTCCGTGGGAAAGCCCTCGGAGCACATATTACACGTGAGCCGTGTTGCACATGATACATATTGCACATGATACGTCTGCTAGCCATGGGACACATACACACCAGAGTTGGTCACATTTCTGGGGCATGTTTTGACACACATCCCCGTGTCATGTATGATACGTATAGCACATGAAACGTATGATAGACATGAGAGCAAAAGAGGCTCACGCAGGCTGAGGCCGAGGCTGAGGGTGAAGCTGAAGCTGGAGCAGGCTGAGGCTGGGACACGCTGAGCTGATGCAGGCTGAGGCTGAGACAGGCTGAGGCCGACGCTGAGGCAGGCTGGTGCTGAGGCAGGCGGAGACTGAGGCTGAGGACGATACGTCACCGTCGCCGTCGCCGTCGCCGTCGCCGTCGCCGCCGTCACCCTCGCCGTCGCCGCCGCCGCCTCCGTCGCCGTTGCCATACCCATGATTCTCGATGCACGTGACGCGTGCGGGCCCTGAAACGCACAGTAGATATGATACTACGCCAACTTGCAGGAAGTAAGGCAGAACGTGTCGTCGCCAAGCGCGATCCTTCACAAGACGGAGAAGACACTTTGGACAGCTACCAGCATTTTATACTTGCGAGACCGTTTTGCGTGTCGGAGGTCACATTTGCAAAACACATCTTTGATGATACACTTGTGTATCCATGGATGTATGTGTGTCTGTATGTGTTAGTACGTGTGTGTCTCTATGTACAAGTGTATGTGTTTGCGTAAGTACGAGGATACGTACATATCAGTGCATGTCTCGACGAACGTACGTGTATATGTGTACGAGACTGTGTATGTGCACGTCTGCGTGTAAAGGCATGGCTATGCGCACCGAGCTCGAATGTTTACATGTGTGTGTATATGTGTGTAAGTCATTACTGGTGGCTCTTCTTTCATACAGTTCTGCTTGACACCAAAGTCTGCCACAATGCACTATACAACTGAGCACCGCCCCTAGGGCTCAGCCACCAGCGCTTCCAACGTGGCTTTGGATACACGTCTGGTGGTCCACCTTCCCTGACGTGTCGTCGCCAAGCGCGATCCTTCACAAGACGGAGAAGACACTTTGGACAGCTACCAGCATTTTATACTTGCGAGACCGTTTTGCGTGTCGGAGGTCACATTTGCGAAACACATCTTTGATGATACATTTGTGTATCCATGGATGTATGTGTGTCTGTATGTGTTAGTACGTGTGTGTCTCTATGTACAAGTGTATGTGTTTGCGTAAGTACGAGGATATGTACATATCAGTGCATGTCTCGACGCACGTATATGTGTACGAGACTGTGTATGTGCACGTCTGCGTGTAAAGGCATGGCTATGCGCACCGAGCTCGAATGTTTACATGTGTGTGTATATGTGTGTGTAAGTCATTACTGGTGGCTCTTCTTTCATACAGTTCTGCTTGACACCAAAGTCTGCCACAATGCACTATACAACTGAGCACCGCCCCTAGGGCTCAGCCACCAGCGCTTCCAACGTGGCTTTGGATACACGTCTGGTGGTCCACCTTCCCTGCACTTTAATTCTTTGATACTCGCTGGCGCCGCGAGCGTGCGCTGCGGATACCAGCTCCTGGCACGTCCGTTTGCACGCACCGGTGCCTGAAGGCTGCAGCATACCTCGCTTCGCGAGCAGCGCGAGCTTCTTCACCGTATGCGACTTCCCGTACTTGATACCCAGACCTTTGGCGGCCTTGACCAAGCCGC